AAAAATATTTTTGATAGTCAAACTTAGTGTTTGGAGACCAGCCCTCTTTTGCAGACCATATTATGACGACCTCTCAGTCATGCAGATTTCTCCATACAGCAACAGAAAGATCAAACCTTTCAGGTCTGAGCATGCCACATAGCTCCTTGTCCAAACTCTTGTTATCTTTTGACTTGTTTAGACTATTGAAGCGCTCCTCAAGCCAGACTTAATGCATATGTTATTAAAGGTCTGCAGGTAATCCAAAATAGGGCAGAGAGCATTGCCTGTTGTTATCTAATGCAATGACTACTATACTTTTAAGTGTGTTTTAATTGTCCAAATGGTTTTTGGGGCCACTGTTCACCATGATATTTAGTAACTCTGCGGCCTGCTAAATGTGTCTTTTAATGCTTGCTTAAATCAGTTTTATTGCATGGCTATATTTAAAAAAAAAATGTTATGCATGTGGAATGCAACAGCTTATTTACGTAAAGTGATTTTGATTATTACTGTATGTTGACTATCTGCCCATTTCAACAGCTTTTCATCTAACATGAAAATTGCAATGTGTGTCTGTACTTGTTTGTGCATGTGTTGTGCGTTGCGTGTGCTTGTTTGTGTTCTGTGGCGTGGATGTTGTGCACATGTGTTTTTGTTTGCGTATGTGACTTAGGCCTCAGCCATACAGGTCTCTAAAAGAGGCGGAGCTTGTGGAAGAAGGTGAGGAGATTGGGGAGCGCTTCCAAGGTAACACTGCTCCGTCCAGCCCTGTGCTACACAAGTTCTCTGACCTGAGCCTGTTGCAGGATGCCTTCCGTAGTCAGCAGGGGGAATCAGAATGTACAGAAACTACAAATACCACAAAACCATCTCTCAGCACACACTCTACAATCAGTTCTGCACGGAGTTTGGAGGAGCTTCGGGCAGACCCAAAACATGCCAACTTCAACTACCAGGTTAGTTCCTGCAAGCAGTACAACTTTTTGTATTCAAACACACCTGATTCAGCTCATCAGCTAACAAAGTAGGCTTCAAGACCTGAAATGGATGGGTCAGATAAGGGAGACATCCAAAATGTGTTCTGTTGTTGTGTCTCCAGGATCAGGTTTGATAAACACTGTCCTAAATGATTGTTCCTCTTGCACAGAATACAGAAGACACTCCCCAAATCACAATAATTGATGATGAGAACCATAGCAATGCATTGTCATCTCACAGCGGTAAACAAGAAGCATTTGATAAACATTTGCAGGTCACTACTTAATTGTTTTAGGATTGGATTGCAGTCCGTGAAACACTCCAAAGCAACCATATTTGTCTGTGTGCATGGTCTCTATCTATCTAAAAACTTGTTCTAATTGTTTGTTCTCCAGCGGATGGATCTTAGTTCTGGCGAGCGCACACGCACTCTCCCAGGTCTTAAAACCACCAATCCGTACAGCAAGCTCTGGAGCCAACTGGAGGACCCATCTATGTTGCTTGGCCGAGAGTCATTATCCTGGGAGAGACCTCTCTCCGTGCCACCCTTGGAACCCCATGAGGCACGCCCACCCAGCAGAGACAGTTCAAATCCTAGTGGAGAGAAGACTGAGGGGGCTTGTATCACAATCCCTCGCCCTCAAGGTCGGAAAACACCCGAACCGGGTGCAGTGCTGGCACCAGCTGTGACCTTGCTGCGCGGGGTCAAGCAGGTCTGCGAGAAGGAGGGAGGGGGGTCCACTGGAGGGCAGGAGTTTCGGCAAGCGCTGAACATGTCTCCCCACTCCCAAGCACAAACTCAGGCAGACTTGTTGAAGCCGAATGAGGAACAGGGACTGGACTTGCTCAGCTTGTTGGACCCTCTATGTGGAACAATGAAGAACGAGGGTGCCCCATCCCTCTCTAAACCCCCTATTCCTCCTCGACCCAACCCCTCAAACCTGCCTGCCTTCCCCCCTCCAGTGTCACTGAACCCCTTCACCCAACAGTCCCAGTACCCGCCACAAAGGCACTACAGTCCTGTTGCCCCAGGTAACCCTTTCACCCCAGCCTACATGCCTTCCCCAGGTGCCAACTACTTCCCCACCTCTGCTCGCCCGTTCTCAGTATATGGTCAGGCATCTGCTGTGGTTGTGACCCCAACAGGAGGGTTGTGGTCAACTGGGCGCGTCCCTCCGTCCTCCAGCAGTAGTGGCTCTCTCTCAAGCCTCTTAGACTCGCCTGCTCCGGCTACTCTTGCCCAGCCTGCGCAAGTCTCCACAGACCCGTTTAGTGACCTTCTTACCATGGCAACCACACCAACAGTAATGGCCACGCCCCCTCCCAAAAAGGTGGAGGACTTACGGAGAAGGTGGGAAACTTTCGACTAGCTCTGACCACATATTTCCTCTACTGCTGCTACCAACCAGTGAGGGACTGCAAATTTAGAGCCAGTGGGTATTTAAGACTGCGCCTCCTAGTGGCCTGAAAGCACTGTTGACATTTTCCTCCAGAGTGTGTTGTACTTTTTTCACGCCTAGCTCACTCACTTTAGCCTTATACACACTGATGCTAATGCTGTATTTCCCATAACAACTGGGTAATCCGTTTTGCTCCAATAGCACCAATTTTAACACTGAAAAACATATTAGCTGAATAACACTATTTTCAGTAGCTAGCAGTGTAGTTCCCATAGGGATCAGACTACAATATTAAGATACAATACAATAAAGACCCACATCCTAACATTTGCGATTCTACTGACATTGCCTTTATGGCAGTGAACTGCATCCTCTTAACCTGACTGCTGTTTTAATAAGAAGCTTATTTTTTAACCATACACATAAATTGATTTAAATCATCATACCCTAACATCCACATTCTTGTGCATAGAACACACTTGAATACAAATATTGTGTATCCCTAGTAAATTGTATACTACACATTCCACACTACCTACTACATGACATAAGAGCATATGACATTCTGCCCCCTAAAAAACACATTGCATACTACATGTTGTGGCTGCGGTACCTGCTGTGTACTTCATATTTGCACTACATTACATAAGTTATACTACAGTGCATACTGCACTACATATTGTGCCCTAGTACAAGCTATATACTACTCGCTGCATAGAGCTCAGAACGGGGTCAGAATTAACAGCCCTGCAGAACACAACACTGCCCCTAGAGGTCAGTTATTTTAGAGGTCAAAAATGCAGGATGCATTAGCTCTTGACCCAAAAAGTGTCAGTAAATAAGGTAAACTGATTGAGAGTTTTTTAGATTAAATATGTGGTAAACCCCTTACTGGTACAGGCTTTACCTCTTCCGCTTGCCTGCGTGTCAGTCCAAAAGTGTTAAAATGGGTCTCCTGGAACTGGGTCCTTTTCAATTTCAAAATAGTTTAGTTTAGATGCTAATTGTCCACTTGCTTTGATTTGATGTCGAAGTTTGAAATCTTCTTTTATTCTGAGCATCATATAATAGACTTATAGCTTTCATAAAGCAACCAATCAGACCTTTCTTTTTAGCACTACCCGTTCCATCTAATCTGCTACTGCCATGCACTCTGCATTATGGGTATTTATTCGAATGGATCTGTTTTGCGCTTTTTAAACATACATACTGCTATAAAGTGTGTTAAAATGAATCCTAACTCTAAAAGTTGTTTTTCTTGTCATAGACTGTGCCTGTTTATTGGGTTTAGTTTAGCACGATACACAATCTGTTTTGGAGGATCATTGTTTCATGCCATTTTTTTGCTATATTTTTGTCTTGAGACTTGCAAGTAGGAGAACACTGTTTGTGCGGATCTTGACATGGCAAAGAATTGTGTACAACCAAATGCTCAAATCCAAAAGAAACATGTTATTTTGTCCATGTCAGGGAACATCAGGGAGTGAATTGGTGTCTCTTCTTCTCTGGTTTTATTGTTGTATTTAAATATATAAAATAATGTTATTTGTGTTATTAAAGTGTTCTTGAGCATCTCTATCTACCCTGTAGAGCTGTTGGAAAATCACATTTTCTGTTAGTTGATTCGTTTGGACCACCTTTTCATTTGGGCCTTAAAGAGTGAGTTTAATTTGGTCCTTGCAAGTGTGTGTGTGTGTGTGTGTAAGTAAGTTCAGAGCTGTTTTGCTGAGGTTACCTAGTCTTACAGCATGGGTTGTTCAGACATTTTGGTTCAAATATTGACTATGTAATAAGATGATTTCCACATGTTCACTTGGGCTGTTAGGTTTATACATGATTGGTACTGCAAACACTGTCCTTAGTAAATCATTCATATGGAAAGTTGTAAAGAAAATGTATAGCAGAAATGGACGCTAAAACACAATAGGACATTTTACGAGTCACCTTTAAAGAATACACTGACTGTAATGTATAATTTTGACTGAAGCAGATACAGTATTTTTGTTATTTTTTCAGCAACTGTCAGATGTGCTGAATCTGTGATATACACAGTGGTTTAAAAAGCAATATTTAACTGGTAAGTCATTAAAGTGCGTTAAGTGTTAAATGTTGTACTGGGTAAAGTGTTGCACATCACTGTACAACAGACAAAGAGGCACGTCCCTGAATGTTACCGTGTATTCTGAGAGCGAAAAAATGTCAAACTATAATCGACCATAAAACAGGTTTTGAAAGTATGAATTAGCATGGATTTAACAACCATTATACAACCTATTGTATTTTGACAGGATCCTTTGACGGCTCTCAGCAAGATGGAATTATCAAAATGCATTTCTGATGTGTAAAATACAATTTACTCTTGGAATGTATCCTAATGTGAACTCATATCCTGTTTATCATTTTGCACTTTTTTTATTTTATTTGGATGTTATGTTATTTTTTTGTGTTTGCCATAATTAAAAAGCACAGTATATTCCTGTGAAAGTTGTGAGCTTGACATTTGTTTTGCTCCCATTTTTTTATTTTTTGAATCATTCTCATTCCCAGTATTCTTACACATATTATTTATAATATTTTAGGGGTGTTTAACATGTTATTTAAGTGCTGCTAGTTATAAGAAAAAGTGATGATTAACACATCTAATCATGTATCCAACCTTTACTCCATTTACACGTTTAAACACAAACACCTTTATTAAACAGTTTTTGCACATTTACACATTCAAAAATATATTCCTATGTTGATGTTGCAGTTCACACTGTACTTTTTAGTTTTAGTAATTCCTAAGCATACATTTAAATGAAGAAAGATTGATATACAACAGACCAGAAAACACAAATTATAGCCACAATTTACAACATATACAACTTATAAAATGAATGCAACTTGCATTCACTCAGTTTTTACAGCATTTAGGCATCAGCAAGGGTTTGTTCTTATGTTCATCTCATCTCATCTCTGTTTTTATCTTCATACACAGGCAGACGTTTATTTTACCACCCATGGCGTTCATGTTTGCATGTGTATTCCAGAGGTAAGTGTGTATAAACATTGAGTTTGGTGTTTGTATCTTTAGTAGTCTCACACTGTTATATGTATAATCACCCCCACCCCCCACCCCATAAAAAATGTGAAGTGCAGTGATTGTCAAACAGTAAAATTTTCACAGTTTTTCCAATAACGGTCTCAATCAGATTATGCTGCATTCACAGTTATGTTGGAATGACCATAATTACAAGCCATAATTTACCTGGAACTTCATTTCGACCCTGGTTCCTGCGGTGTAAACACTCAAGAGTACCACCCCAAAGTTCCTAGTTCCTGGGGAAAGTTCCTGCTGTGGAAATGCGGCTTAACTATTTTGTTGTTCCCCTCCCATGTAAATGCTAATATATAGCTAATTATTCACATTGGCATGAATATGAAACCACATTCTTTAGTGTCAATTATCATATCCAGTGTTGCCTACAGCAGAAATAGTAGCTAGTTAGCACAATGGTCTTGCTACAGAAATCACACCTTGTACATTCAAATGCTGTGGGAAAAAAAAACCTTTCAAAATGGTGCTTTCTCCATCATTAGCACTACTTTCAGTTGTTTATCTAGGGATTTCTTAAATATTTTAAATGCTGTGGAAGTGTGGGGAGAATGTAAACTCATATTTTTGCCTCTTTACTGTATGACGCTTTGTCAAAGTCGTTCAGGCATGTAATGCTGCGAGATAAAGAATCCCAATGTTCAAGTTCAACTAGACTTGAGAGAGTTGCTGGTTAAATTCCAGAGTTGTTGGTTTCGGCAAAATCTATGGTGAAAGATCAACCATATTTAATGACTTCTAATATAAAATGTAATTTTAAAATTTGTATTACAGTTAATCTTTGGGCTTGTTTGCTGTAGCACTTATTGTAGCTCCGTAATAATACATGGTCTTGGAAAGGTTGTTAACTTTTATAAAGTCATTCGATAATATTAGAGCTCCCTTGTCTACATCTGCTTTTGTCACCTTGTCAACATGTCTCAAATTAGACGCTCTTCAGGTGGTACTTTCAGCATGCTATCCATCTCCAAGCGTGCACCTGCTACTTCCTGATGACTTGGGGAATAAGTTCCTTCTGATTGCCGCTTCCTGCGTGCTGTCATCAACATGAAAATGAGACCAATAGCCACCAAGAGGATACAGCCACACACCAATGGAACCGCAATCGCCAGCCACGGTATATGATCTTGCTGAGCCTGCTTCTGCAGAGAGAGATTCAAATTGTTTTTGTTGTCAGGTATAAAAAGTAACAATCAACACTACTGAGCTAGTTTCTTATTTTGACTCCTAAATTGTGTGCTTATTATACTCAGTTTTTACTCACATTTGTTTCACAGAACTGCCCACTGAATCCTGCTGGACACAAACATTGAAACCGGTTCAGCCGATCCAGACACGATCCACCGTTTAGACATGGGCTAGATGCACACTCATCCATTTCTCTCTCACATCTGTGGGGGGGAAAAAACTTGAACACTTAGTCATCTTTATCAGTGTTTGTTCATTCAATTTATTTCAATTGGACAAGAATGCAAGTGTTAATTCCACCTGTCTCCTATGAATCCTGGAAGGCAGGAGCAGTTTGCCCCCCACTGAGTGTCGTGACAAATGCCATCATTTTCACATTCAAAATCCAGGTCACATTTAAGAGGAGGGTAGTTATACCTGGTGCACAAGAACACAAACAAACAAATGCTCAAACTCCCAACAGATAAAAAACAGTCCCAAACAAATAAGGATGTAGCCTCACTTGTTCATTCAAACTTGGGTAGCAAGAAAAAACTGTATAAAATAGAACAATGGATAGTGAATTTTTTTCCCACTGGCTTTCATTAGTATTTACAAGTGAAAGCAGTTTTGTATTTGGATGTAATATTAAGGCCACATTAAAATGGAGTCTAAGTTATGGCTGAGTCAAGTCTAGGCATCAATGTGTGATCAGTAGGAACTCACTGACAACGTGTTCCACTGTACTTAGGGGGACAGATACAGGTGTAGTCATTAACTCCATCCACACAGGTTCCCCCATTCTTACACTTCGATCCTTTGCAGTCATCTATGTTTTCCGAACATGTAGGTCCAGCATATCCTGGGTGACACAAGCAGTCAAACCCATTAAACTTGTCCTTGCATTTGCCATGGAGACAGGGTCCTGAGACACACTCGTCTGTTTCTTTCTCGCAGGTGATCCCTTCCCAGCCGGGTGAGCACTGGCAGCCAAATGAATTGAAGAGATCCACACATGTACCACCACGCCTGCAAGGATGAGAGTGGCACACTGGAGCCCCGGAGCACCCTATGCGCACACGCTCATCTTGTCTCCGCCAAAATCGAGATTTTTGGGGTGATTTGGCATTGTCTACAAATGGAAGATACACCTCACCTACTCTGACGGCACCTAGACATCCTGTGTACGTCTCTGCCAGTGCAACTTCACTTGACAAGTCTTTAAGAAAACTTAAACTGCCAGCAAGCATTGGGGCACTGCTACCATCAATGATCCCATCCACCAAAACCAACCACTGTGATGCATCATGCTCTGGGTTGGCCATGGCAACAAGCAGGCGATGCCAGTTTCCATCTGCAATGTGCCTCTGTCCAGAGAATTTTACTGGCTCCACACTGTTCTCTGTATGAAGCTCCACATAAATGGCTGAATCCAACAGACCAACCAGTAGAAGTTCCACCCCTCTCCATGCACGAAGTAGCACACCATTTTCCTGCCTTGTACGGAGCTCCATGGTAACATTTGTCACTGGGTCAACTACAGATCCCTTAGCACTGTAGTGTAAGGGTGTGTTGTCAAAGGTTGCATTAGCAATGCCTGGTAAGAAGGAAGAAAAGGTATAAGCATTTACACATTAAAAATATTTGAATTATTTTGCCAATTGGATGTTCAGGAAGCAAACAAGAAACTGTTCAAGATAAGCATACACTCAAAACCATCCAACAGATCCATGCAGTGTCCACCATTTACGCAAGGGTCGCTGACACACCAAACTCTGGTTTCACATGTCTTTCCAGTGAAATCCCGTGGACAGGAACAAGTAAAGTCATTCCATGTGACTGTACACTCTCCACCATTCAAGCAAGGCTCCACCTGCAAACCAATTGCACAACGACAGCTCTTTCCAACTGTAATTATCACAGCAAAAAGGTCTGATGAAATGAAAGCAAAAATGTAAGTCGACATACCTTGCATGTGTCATCACTTATGCATCCAGGTAGCACATTTTCTGCATCACTGGAGAAATACATAGTTTCACTGAGGGTACTATTCCAGGCTTCCACTTCCAGATGCACATCGTCTAGTCTCAGGTCCTGCAGGCATCCCTTAAATTGCCCACCCCAATCCGTTGCACCCTCTTCACCTGGAACTCCACCAACATACACCAGGTCTCCCTTCAGAACTTCCATGTCAGGCAGTGAGCCAAGCCTATAGCGCAATCCTCCGTGGCTAAAGAATACCTGACCCTCCTGTATGTCCAACTGAAGCATTGGCTTCTCTCCATTACAGACAAACACTGGTGATGAAAGGGTGGGTGACTCCGCTACAGAGGTCACATGTACTCGTCCCATTTCCAAGTACATGGTAAAATAAGGATCATCTTCCTCGGTCTCCTGAAGGCCTGCTCTTCGTAGTTGAAATAATAATCCACTTGTTTTAAGTGATCGAAGGAAGAATGAGACACTAAAGTTCCTGCCAATATCAGACAGCAGTTCAAGTGGAAGAAAACTTGTAGAATTCTCATGACCAAATGTCCAAGAGGGAAAATCTGGAAAATAAAGAGAAATAGAGACAAAAGTCAATTATGATAATGTGCCAATGTTTTTTATTCTATAAGTTTAGTTTCATCTACACCAAACTATTCAACTGCAGTCCTGGAGGGCCACTGTCCCGCAGAATGTCAATCCCACCAGAATCAAACACACTTGCCTATATTTTCCAAGTACTCATCTTTGTTCAGGTGTGTTTGCATAGGGTTAGAGCTAAACCTGGCAGAACAGTTGCCCTTCTGAACAGCACCAGATCTGAATATCCCAGGTTAACACATTACTACAAGATCAATGTTTTAGTGTATGAGGATATGCGTATGCATACCTTGGCTGCAGTCATGTCCATAGTGTGGTCTATAACAGTCACAGCGGTAGCTCGTCCAGAGGTCAACACAGTGCCCTTGTTGAGAGCAAGGATCTGGGTCCACCTCGCACCATTCTGTCTTTATACAGCCTAACTCTACACTTTCGTCCTTGTCATCCAGATCATGGGGCAGGACAGGATGGCCATCAATCTGTAGGTCTTCCATACAGCCCAAAAAGCCATGGCTGCTCAATGTAAGCTCCATGTACTCCTCTGGTACTCCACCCACATATACCTTTGTGAACGTCTCGTGGTGCAAGAAAGTTTCATGATAATTTGGTTGCTTGTCTTCAGCTCTGCATACTTGATCGTCACAGCCTGGACCTTTGACCTGAAGCACAAGTCTGATATCCTGTTCATCAATGGTCACTGTTGCCTCATGCCAACCTCCGTCACTTACAAGCCCTGGTAATTGTGCCTCCAGTGACCCTCCCTCCTTAGATATTGCCTTAGCATGCAGCTCACCCCCAACAATCTCTAGGGAGAAGAAGAGCTCGGCATTGCCACGAAAGAACAGCAGCATATCTGGCAGAGTGGTTCGGAAGCGCAGGCGAACCCCCAGAGGGTGCTCGTGTTCTGTGTCTCTCCTTCTGCGCTCAAGTGGTGGAACCTCAATCAGAAAGAACCTCGGTGAGGAGAAGGAAAATGTGGTTGGTGTAGAACATGTGTCATCATAGAAACCTGGAGGACAAAGGCAAGTATGTCCATGTGTCTCTTCATCTAACCACGGCAAGCAGGTGGCACCATTTTGGCAGGCATGGTCAATGCAACCAAGCAGCTGCACAGTGCATTGGGGACCCCCCCATGGCAGGTGATCTTCCTCAGCTTCTGCACATCGGCACTTGTATTCAGCTACTCCATCTTCACATACACCTCCATTCAGGCAGGGGGCACTCTCACACTCATCTATGTTAACCTCACACTCCACGCCTGGGAAAGACAGACCAAAATGAACAATAAAGACAAATACACATGCAAATAGTTTCCCATATACAAACACTAACCTGCAAACCCCTCTGGGCATAGACACGTGTATCCGTTAACCAAATCCGTACAGCTTCCTCCATTGTGACAGGGCTCAGATACACACTCGTTTATGTTCACTGAACAGTTCTCTCCTGTAGAAATAAACAAAACACATAAACAGTATGACAACTCTTTTCAGGTAAATCATTGTTTCATTACTTGAGTAACCTTCACCACCCATTCAATCACGGAATAGTTAGGCTCAACTCTGGAACAAGTTCTTAAAATGAACAGCGGTTTCAATGTCTGTGTATTGTTTTACATTTACATCTGTTTTATGTTTCCGGTACCTGTGTATCCTGGTTGGCACTGACAGACGTAACCCATGGCTGTGGCATAGGTGAACTCCCAGTCCGTTTCCCAGAGGTCTGGATTTGACTTCTCAAAACATTCACCATTGTTCTCACAGGGAGTATCAGCACATTCATCTATATCCACCTCACAGTTATCTCCTTCAAAACCTATACACACATTAACATTGTTTCAGTTTGTTGCAGAGGTAAGGTTAGGGATATGAAGACTTGAAAGACTTGGGTGCGGCTTTGGATAAAGGAGAGCTACCTGGCCAACAGGTACAGTTGTAGTGGTTAATGCCTTCTAGACAAGTAGCTCCATGTTGGCAAGGATGAGATGCACACTCTGGAATATCCTCCTCACAGTGGTCCCCCATAAAACCAGTGCCCTCACATTCGCACCCATAACTGCATACAAACACACAGAATCAGACTATTTTAACTATCAGCATAAAATCTGCTCTGCATTGCAGCTTTTTCTGGCCAATAACCAACCACTTAGATAGGAAGAGTATGTCTGTCTAACATGTAACATTCGTTTTACTCACAGTGAGTAAGTGAAACAATAATGGGCAGTGCATGGACATGACTCTGTCAGGCATTCCCACAATTCCAGAGATGTGTTACCTATCAATAAAGTCGTGGCAAATTCCTCCATTTTGACATGGATCACTCTCACATTCATCGATATTGGTTTCACAGTCGGAACCTTCAAACCCCTGCACACAGTCACAGGTGTACAACCCCACTAGGTCAAGACAGGTGGCTCCATTTTGACAGGGATTTGACTCGCATTCATCAATCTCCATCTCACAGTTCACTCCTAAAGGGATATAAAACACAATACATGACTTAAAAAAATAAGATGCCTTATAAAGAACAGGTTGCGACTTGGAAAGTACCAGTTATTAATGTCTGACAACATCCATGTAGACCAGGAGTGCCCGATCCTACTTCTGGAGGGCCATAGTCCTGCAGAGTTTAGTTCCAACCACAATAAAAAAAAAAAATCTGAATCAGCCATTAAGATCTACTAGGATTACCTTAAATTAGTGTATTGGAACTAATTTTTGCAGGACCTCTGCCTCTCAGCATTAGGATTGGGCTCCCCTGCTTTAGACTATAGCATACAGTTACAAATGTGGAAACTTAAGGTTTATAATATGTTCACCCACACCCACAGATTACCTGTATATCCCAGCAGGCATTCACACAGGTACCGGTCTTTCCCATTAATACATGTTCCATTATTCCTACAAGGTCTCGATGCACACTCGTTAATGTCAATCTCACAGTTGTGTCCTTGGTATCCAGGTACGCAGAAGCAGTGATACGTGTTGGCCCCATCCAGACAGATTGCACCGTTCTGACAGGGATGTGAATCACACTCATCCAGGTCCTCTTCGCAGGTCTCACCACGAAAACCGTCTGAACAAGTGCATTCAAATCCATCCACTATACGTCTACAGGTGCCATTGTTGAGGCAGGGTTCATCAACACAGTCCGTGATGCGACGACTGCAATCCTCTCCTCCAAAACCAGGTGGGCACAAGCATTTGAAGCCATTCAGTTCGTCCACACAATCAGAGAGGGGACCGACACATGGCCCACTTTCACACTCATTGATGTCCTCTGGACAAGTGTAGTGGTCTGTGCCAGGTTCACCGACACACCCTTCACATTCGGCAAACACACAACCGTTGTACAGCTCCGCACAGTCCCTTCCCATATACCGTACTCCTTCCCGTGAACACAAACACACGTAATCATCCATTGTATCTACGCATGTCGCCCCATTCTGACATGGAGAAGATGCACACAAATCAGATGACCCGGAACAGAATATACCTACAGAAAGAAAGACAGGATTTAATATGGTACCTCTAACTCATGCATATGACCAATGGGAAATCCAAGTAAATGTTGTGTCATTTCTTTGATCATACTTGGGGTTTGGTGACCTACACCTTTTTGTCCAATAGACCATTTTGCAAGATGTAAACAACACTGGTCCATAAACACTTCCTGTTTCAGTTTGTAACTGTTTTCTTTATTTCACATGTAAAGAAAACATCTTAAAGATGTTTGTTTAACTTTTTGATTCAGTTTTATGTGTTCTATTGGTTGTATTTTATCCCAGCTTTTATTATGTAGTCTTAAAAAACTGAAACAGGAAGTGCTTCTGGACCAGTGTTGTTTACATCTTGCAAAATGGTCTATAGACATGAAATAAAAGAGACATGAGTGGAGAGATGTCCTGAAACTTTTAAGCAATCCAATTTATGATAGATGTCTATGAGTCTTGTCAATAACATTGGGAAATAAATCCCATAGACCTTGAATAACAAACATATGACATCTTCAAGGGCCCATTATGTCATAGAAAGTTGGATGTGGGTTCATTTAATAGGCTGGTAAACAACTATCTAGCAACTACTTAGCAAACTGCAAAAAACAAACAAATTAAAAACACAGAACACCTTAGCGACCACATAGCGTAATTCTAACATAGTGATGATTTATTATGCATGTCCATTTTCTTCAGAAAACTCTTTCAGAAAAATGAAAAAACAGACATCCCAATCAAGACAAAGGAAATACTGACATCAGTTAATAACAAGCTGTTGATCACAAACCTTAATCCTGGGTAAGACCGACTAAGCCCGAGGAATAATGTGAGAGAATCTCTTAAAAGTCAGGATTGCAAATAACAAGCCCATCTGTGAGGTTCAAAATATAAATATATATTTTTTGTTACATTTCTTAGTCATAACAAGTCTTAAAATTTGAGAGACCCTGTGTGTATTGTAAATTGTCTATTTTGCTTATGAGTGTGTATTTTTTAGATCAGAATGAGGTGCGAAGCATTCAGGGGATTTTCTTGTGCAAATCGACCAATCCCATGAGAGCTCTTTGAGTCATTCCAAATTTCTGTTATCTGCATGACCTCGACCCTCAACCCCCACAGTGCATCCAATTCAGATCCATTAGTGTGTGGCCCACCCATCTTTAACCATTGTGGGGCCCCTCGTCCCCCTAAACTCTCCCTCAACTTCTCTCAACCACTTTGCAGCCCTGGCAACCCTCAATGTCGCTTTGATCAGACCTTCATCCCAAATATTCATTCAGGCGGAAGATATTAATGAGTGGGCAAAAGGAATGAGGTGTTGTGCATGTGTGTCTGTGTGCACATGTTGAGCATTGTGTGTAGCAAGGCAGCGTAGCAGGAATGGGGCAGCGTTTTGTGAAAATAAGGTGAAGCGTGAAGGGGTTTATATAGGTCAGAAGTGTGTATGCGTGTGTTAACTTTTGATATGTTTGTGGGAATCAAATGTCCCCATATAAGGGTAGAATTTGATTCTTAAACATTTTAAAGGTCACATTAAAGGGTTAGTTCACCCAAAACTTAAAATGATCCCATAATTTACTAAACCTCAAGGTATCCTAATTGTATATGACTTTCTTCTTTCAGCCAAACACAATATCCTGGCTCTTCCACGCTTTATAATGGGAGTTTTTGAAGCTCCAAAAAGCACATCCATCCATCATAAAAGTAATCCATAAGGCACCAGGGGGTTAAAAAAGGCCTTACGAAGCGAAATGATGAATTTTTGTAAGTTTGCATCTTTGATTCTCATTTTCCTATTATTGTGAAGCTGCATTGAAACAATATGTATTGTTTAAAGAAGTAAATGAATAAATGTAATACTTTCAAATGTAATACATGATAAATTACATAGCAAATTGTACTATATCAGCATAACAATTTTAGGCCCCGTCCACACTACTGCGTTTTCGTTTAAAAACGGAGAATTAAAACGAATACGATCTCCGTCCACACCAGCATTTTATCTGCGTATTAGAAATGATCTCCGTCCACATTAAAACGACTGAAAACGCGGATCACGTGACCATTCACCAACACTGGGCATGTGCGTGCCGGTATAAACAGTGAATGACGAATCAGGGAAGGATACGTCATGACTGATATGCCCAATCATAGAGCCAAGCGTCAGCCTCTGCGTCAGCGTTTCTGCGTTTCTGAAGTCCACACTAAAACGCCCTCCGGAGATTCAAAACGCAAAACGCAGCTGCAGCGTTTCTAAACTTCTCAGTTTTAGGTCTTCGTTTTTCTCGTTTTAGTGTGGACGGGAGGTGCAAACGTAGCAAAAGGTCTCCGTTTTTAAACGAAAACGCAGTAGTGTGGACGGGGCCTTAGTGTAAGATAGATCATCATAATGTTCCTTTAAATTGTTAAAAATCCCAAATCTTTGTTTCTTTCTAGAAATAAATTCGATTTTGAATTCCGGATTGTCAGTTCTAGACTTTGCAATGTATTTGCCCAGACACTTTAATCAACATGGAAGTGTTACTTTTAGAACTGAAACATCTTATCAGTCTCAGAACACACAGACTGTTCTTACACAACACAACTCAGAGCTTACACACTGATTTTAGTGTGAACACACTCACATTTATCTTAAAATGTGGCTTACACAACGATCTTAAAGCAAACAAAACAAAAAAGTGGATATTTATTAGGAGTATTTTTCATGCACACATTATGTTCCCAAAAAACAATTTTAAGAACACTTTGATTTTAGCATGTGTAGGATGCAGATCCGTCTGACACCCACACAGGCACTCATTCCCCACCCCCGGCCCAGGAAAACGGGCTCCACTCACACTGACCCAGCAAGTGTTCAGTTTCCATAGTTACCCCTAAGCTAATTTGGCCCTGAGACGAAGATATTCTGACCTCTGTGACCTCAGATCCACCTCCCTTCTACTTTTATTTTCCATCTTTCTCACCATCTTAGATTTCTTTAAAGCTAATGTCATTTCCTGTCAGTGTGATAAGTAAGAAGATTTCCCAGCTCACGCTGCCATGAAGGGTCAGATGGATAATGATGCCCGACAGAAGCGTCCAGCACTCACGGCCCACATACATGAAGTTCCTCTTCTAATTTTCTTTTTTTACTTACTCCTTCCTGTCACTGCAGGACACTGATTATCTGCTTTCTGTTTTGACCTCTGCCAACCTGTGTTGTACCGTTTACAGAAAATCAAAGTGGATTAAACTGTCTGTACCTAATTTAGCTTATGTACTCTCACACAAACACGTGTGCTTGAACACTCTCACTGACTGAACCTTTACTTCACAACATCTGTGTTGTGAAATATTTTTACATTCTGTCATATACAATAAAAAGACTCAATTTAAAGTTCACTAGACGGTGCTTATACCATCAGAGAGAAAAGAGCGAGTAGGCCAAAGTCTTCACGTACTGAGCTGAACGTAATCCTCTCAGAGTTGTGTGTGTAAAACAGGACAGCTTAAGGTTAGTCTACACTGCTAAGCCAGACAGCTTTTGTAGAATCCAGGTCTCCCACCTTGAGCCAGTAAGAGATTCCAGATAGATCTATATACTTTCATTCAGCAAGGATGTATTAAATTGATCAAAACTGACAGTAAATATTATTATGTTACAAATAGTAAATATTTCAATTAAATGCGGTTCATTTGAATGTTCTATTCATAAAAGAATACAATAATGTGATAATAATAAGAAATGTTTCTCAAGCAGCAAATTAGCATACAGTATCAGAATGATTTCTGAAGGATCATGTGACACTGATGCGGATGCAAGTAATGATGCTGAAAATTCAGTTTTGCATCACATGAATGAATTACATTTTAAAATGTATTTAAATAGAAAACAGTTATTTTTAATTTCTAGTAATATTTCAGCATATTACTGTATTTTTTATCAATTATATGCAGCCTTTACCCACTGCACTACTGCAACAATTTCTGTCTGCTACCAATGTAAACTCATCACCTTGATCTGGTCATGTTCCATTCATATTCATACAGTATTTGTATTCTCTTAAATGTGATCTCGTTGGAATGTGGACAGCACCCAGATGTGACGCGTTTAGGTTCGAGGTGGAGACAGGCTGTAGTGGTTCTGATTTTACAGACTTTAACATTGAGGTTTCACAGAGATCTGAGAGTCTTTGGCATCCTGTGGCAGACGGAGACATTCTCCTGACATCTGTCTTGAGCACTACGGCTTACTTGTGTCAGTGTATAAGGTTATCTGCGTGAAGCCGCTGGAAGAATGTCAGCCATGCAGGTTCTTAGAGTTAAACTTCTAACACTGATACTGACTGTCAATCAAGGAGAACTCCTCTCCTTTTGTTTACATCACTGCCAATCATCCCTGTTTGTCTTACTTCCTGCTGTGAGGGGGCGTGATTGGTTAGTTTTACAATTTTAGGGGTTACAGATTGTTTTAGAGGGGTCAGGTGGGGAAACAGCTCTCTGTGTGTGTAACACCAGTGTTATTCTGATATACTTAGTAGTTTTTATTACTATTTTGAATCCGTTTTTGTTTTTATATTTGAATTTATGTCAAGTTTTGACTGTCTAATGGCTGTGAAATTTGTCAGGGTTAGTGGCCCAGTCAGATGGGGAGATCATCTGAATGAGATAACACTAATATGCATCTGTCCAGAGATATGAGTGGGAACGGATGGGTTACAGAGAGAATGACAGTAAGAGGGCAGCTGGGACGTGTGTGTGATGTGTGACAGGACTTTCTGATAACCTGTGGTCTGGTCATTTTCACAGGCACTGGAGAGGTGTGCGCAAGTTTATTTGTACTTAGTCGTGCTTAATTTTCTCATGTGAACCTAAAATCAAGAATTCTAACGTTAAGAATCAAACTTTTCAGACTAAATATAGTTTTGATTCATTGTAAATATGAGAGTAATGGTTGTTCTTAGCATTAATATAAACTCAGACTTAGCACAGTTCTGTCATTAGCTCTATAGACTCAGATGCTAATAGGCTAATTAGCTTTATCCCCCTTTGCGTCTAAACCTAGACACAACGGTTTAACCTTTAAGACTTTATAGGTGATGCTTTTGAGTGTTACGCCTCGTGAGCATCAACACAATGCTTTTGGCACTGAAGGCTATTAGCTTTATTCTATATAGTAAATCTAAAACCAAAACATAATATTAGAATTTAAAAGCTGCATGTCTGTTTTGTCAATTCAATTTGTGGCATAATATCTGTTAAGTAGCAGATACCGCTTAAGTAAACCTGGTCAGCGTCTGGCGAGTTTAAATGCAGAAATGTAAAGGTTGATTTTTTGTTAGAGCACGTGTGATTTATTTTGGAAAAAAGTGTCTTATTAATCAGCTATTATTTACAAGTAAATTGTCTAAATTGTCCTTTTTTATGTTAGATGCGATTAATCGTGATTAATTGATTTGATAGCACTAATATATATTAGGGCTGTGCAAAAATTAATTGCGATTAATCGCATCCAAAATAAAAGTCTGTGTTTACATAATATATTTGTGTGTGCTGTATATAATTATTTTGTATATATAAATACCTATGCATGCATGTATAGATTTAAGAATTATTTGCGCAAAAATTGTATATATATATATATATATATAAAAACATAATCTATATTATATAAAATATAAATATTTTATATATGAATAACACATTTTATTAAATATATACATGCATCTGTGTGTATTTATATATATACAAAATAATTTTATACAGCACACACAAATATATTATGTAGACACAGACTTTTATTTTGGATTCGATTAATCGCAATTAATTTTTTGCACAGCCCTAATATATATATATATATATATATATATATATATATGAAGAGTTCAGATGCAAAAGCCTCTAAGTGCCATTTGAAATTTTCTTCTAGAATGATGATTTTTATCAAACTTGTATATTTAAGTTCAGTAATTTCACAATGATAATTGCCTATTAATTGTTATTTAAGTGAAATTTCTGAACTTAAATATACAAGTTTGATAAAAATCATCATTAAAGAAAATTTCAAATGGCATTTAGAGGCTTTTGCATCTGAACTCTTCATATATATATATATATATATATATATATATATAATACTCTATTACCCAAAGCATTAATTTAACCCTCTAAACAATAGGTGATATTTGTGAGCATTAACCCACACAAAAACATGTCAATTTTTGCCATTAACACCTCCTCTAGCTAGTAAAAGTTATGCTATTATTAATAATATTATTTATTTACAATATTTACTAGATCTTGACCAACAATTGATGGACCCCTCGATGGAAATAGGCGCATCTATGTGTGGTTAAGATCTTGTATTGACAATGCAAGAGTCCAGCACTCAGTAAAGTTTCCTCCAGCACATCCCAGACAACTTTAACTGAATTTAAGGTCTGGATTCAGAGGGGCCTATTCATGTGTGGAAATGATTCTTCATGCCCCCCCCCCCCCCCCCCCCCAACCATTCTTTCACAATTTGAGCCTGATATCGTCATCCTGGAATATGGCCAGTGTCTTCCTACATGGATGTTTAAGAAATGAAAAGCTAGACTCCATCAACTCGGGTTAGAAGAACTGTTGCCAAACATATAACATTCTAGAAACATAATAATTACTGCAATAATGATGCAATCATAGACTCTACTTTTTTGGGGGGCCGTGCAGTGTATTACACTCTATTACCCAAAACATTTATTGAACCTTTCTATATAGGTGATATTTTTGAGCACTGATCAACAGAGAGACGTTATTTGTTAATGTTAGCATCAACGCAGGCTCCTCTAGCTAGTATAGGCTCACTTTTATTAGCAGAATCTTGACTGTGAGAATGCAGTGGACTTTGTCATGTGAATTTATTCTTCCCTTTCAGTGTTCTTGTTAGGATTAGGGTTGGGGGCAGGGTCCATTGTAGACATTTTCATTGAAAAAGTCATGTGGATTCCAGGATCCCCCTCGTTTCCCTAAGCGCTTGATGTTACATTTGCATGCGTGATTTGACATGAACTATCAGCTCAGTCAGGACATTAGACCAGTTTCACTGTTCATCTCACTGAATTCCCCCACTGACTCCTGTTAGTCTATGCAAATACACTAAAGATGCAGTGTTGTAATTGCATACAACACTTGACACCTAAACAGCAGGATCTGTGAGTCAGAACAATGAGTTTTGACTGAGTAAAGTGTATTATTGTGTGCCAGACGCATTTTGATTTTATACAAATTTTACAGTGTCCCTGTTATTCATGTAGTTACTGAAGTAAAAATGATAAATTATGCATAATTACATGCAACTAACCCAAAACCAAACCCCAATCCTAACCCCTGTAGTAAATACATGTAGTTAATTATTATTACCCAATTATTATTATTACTCTACTAAAATGTATATTTGCTTTTATATACAACCTTTAATATTTTAGACTCAAAACTTTGTTATTATCCTGGATATGGTTATCATAGAGTTAAATACTCAGAGACAGCTTGACCGTGCAGTCAGATGAAAGAGCGTTAAGCCTACAGGACGCAAAAGTAAACAGAGCCTGTTAAAAGTGCTTAACGCAGATTCCACCCGCACACAACGTCCAAATGACTCAGCCCTGGTGTCATGGCAACGGGAAACAATGGAATCCCCCCCCCCCCAAATGAATCAGACTGGATTGATGGAGGGAGGGAAAATAGATGGGTAACCTCCCCCATACACCCGTCTACCATGCTCCAGTCATATCCACTCCAGACAGGAGGAGGGACGCGAGTTACACTCCAGTGCACATCTTTGAGAGTCCCAAATAACAGAAAATGACCACAACACTAATGCGAGACACAGAGCCAGGAATTCTGTCTCTGTATAAAACAGAAGAAAAGAAAAAATGCTGAGTTGTTTCAAGCAATGTTTGGGTCAAATATGGAAAAACCCAACCATTGGGTTTCAAAATAAAAATTTAAACCAACGGGTTGAAACAACCCTGCATTTTTTTAAAGTGTAGAAGATATTTCTAATAAATAGCCAAATGAACACCAAGGGCTTACCATGCAGTTTTTTTTTAAACCACCATGATGCTAGAGTTTTGTGGGTGGTTGCTAGGGTGTTCTGAGTGGTTGCTAGGTGGCTGCTTACAGGTACAAGTCAAAAGAGACCCCCCTTCCTCACGCTTTTGTCTCCTAGCATCATTGTAAAACAATTATTACTAATACTTTAGTTTTTGTTTACATTGCGGATAAAAGTAGGCTACATTTACTTGCTTTCATTTGCCTTTTTAAAAAGTTTCCCAAAAAAATCAAAGTACCAGTATAGCCACATCCAACCTGTTGCTTTTGACTCTAGCAGAGATATATACGATTAAACTTGGCCTTTCTTAGAATGAAACACACCTAAGTGAGCAAATATTAGCAAAACATCACATTCTATTTCTATATGAAAGGTGTTCTCAACAGCTTTTCATGATCAGTGTCCCATTTTTTTTATTCTTCTTTCATTGTTCAGGGTTGCCAAGTAAAAGTTATCTTAATGTTCTATAAATATGTGTTTATGAAAACATATGTTCATATAATATTATATCTTGTTTTCAAGGCATTGAGACAGAAGGAGAGAGAGAACTTACCCCATTTGAACATCATCATGGTCAGTAAAAATGTCCCGGGGCATTTCAGATGCACTTTCCTGATCTCCATGGTGACGTGAGACAATCCAAACATACCAAACTAGCTTAATGTCTCTTTGAGTCCTTCATAGTGGAGCAACCTTCAAATTAAACCGTCTTAAGGGAACATCAAACCTCGGAGTTCCCGCATGATCCTGAAGCTGAAAGTCTGCTCTGTTGAAATTCTCTTTGGTCTCTTAATTCCTAAGCTTCAGGGTGTGTAGTTCATATAAAGTTCCTCTGTCCAGCATCAGAAATGTATTCAGGCTGAGAGCAGTGGCACATTGTACGCGTAGTAATGAGACTAACTCTCTCACCCAATCCCACTGCGGCTTACCACACTAATCACCCAGAGAGGGGAGGGGCCGGAAAACCAGAAGTGGACTTCAGCACCAGGACTCCTGTGTATGGGATGGGTTTGCTTAGCAACACTTTGGGAACAGAATGGAACGAATTCAGACAAAACAGGACATAGGGACATTCAGGGATGTCCTCAAAGATAAAGATTCATACAGTTAAAAATGTTTTAATAACAATGATAACAGTAGCACTTTATTTTACAGTCCGGTTCCGTTACTCGGTTATAATATACTAACCCTCAACCTACTCTAAACTAACTCTAAATGTAACCATGATAAGAGCTTTAAGGGACAATTCACCCCACAAAAAAATAAAGAAAATTGTGTCATCATTTACTCACCCTTAAAATTGTTCCAAGCCTGTATGAGTTTCTTTCTTCTGCTGAACACAAAAGAAGATATTTTAGAATGTCAGTAACCAAACAGTTGATGTGCCCCACTTTCTCATACTACAGGGTCCATCAACCATCAACAATGGTTACCAATATTCTTCAAAATATCTACTTTTGTGTTTAGGAGAAGACTGAAACTCATACAGGTTTGGAACATCTTGAGGGTGAGTAAATGTTTGGGTGAACTATCCCTTTAGTAAAATGACAAAATTTATTGTAAAAGTAAGTTTGCTATGATTTATGTATGTCTTTTATTAGTCTACTTTTCTACACTTTTGCAGGTGGACAGCAGACGGCTCAGGTCAGTGTTATTTTAGTACTCTATATATGAAGAGTTCAGATGCAAAAGCCTCTAAATGCCATTTGAAATGTTCTTCTTTAATGATGATTTTTATCAAACTTGTATATTTAAGTTCAGTAATTTCACAATGATAATTGCCTATTAATTGTTATTTGAGTGAAATTTTGAACTTAAATATACAAGTTTGATAAAAATCATCATTAAAGAAGAAAATTTCAAATGGCATTTAGAGGCTTTTGCATCTGAACTCTTCATATATTATTATAGTATGTATTCATATTTTTAAATGGTGTTCCTTTAAATTTTAGTTTGTTTTAGTATTTTTTTATGTGCTTTTGTCATTGTTATTCATTTTTTTGTTAACACTTTACAATAAGGTTCCACTGGTTAACTAAGTTACTTAACATGAATGAAAAATACGTATAACACATTTATTAATCAGTTAATGTTAATGTCAAAATGTATTAAACCGTTTTTTATATTGTATAATGAATATTGTTTAATGGAATTGCTAATATTAACTAACAATGAATGATAACAGTTGTTTTTTTTAACCAATTAACATTAAAATAATATTAATAAATACTGTAACAAATCTTTTGCTCTTTGTCAGTTAATGTTAGCACTTTAATAGGGACCTTATTGCAAAGTGTTACCCTCATTTTTAAGAAATATTTATAAATAGCTTTACATTTGATGTAAATAACTAAAACTGACATAAAAATTATTTCTGGTTTAGTTATTTAAATACATCCAATTTAACTTATTTCGGTTAGTTGCAACATTTTTGCAAGTTTTTTTTTTTTTTTTTTTTAGCCTTTTATCTAATATCTATATTTTATTTTTATCTATACTTTATTTCAGTTACTTATATTGTTAACAACTGCTGCTTTTTCAAGGTATTGACAAAATAACACTGGGCCAGGTTTTGTGTTAGAAAAACACACAACACAATGTGAAGTTTCACTAATGTGAAGTTGGAAATTTGGATTTTGTTTTGTTAGAAAACACTGAGCCCAGCTGGATATTTTCTTTCACAAATCAAGACATTTACAAAAGCTTTCCTAAGTGATTCCCTGCTGATTTTTTCCAACAGTGTATAATGAGCAGCTGAGATCTTATATCCTGCTGAGTTCAGCTATCACATTTGCATTAGTCATTCAAGGCTGCATTCCTTTATAAACCCACAACTACCTGTTTTTATGAACTACGCAACTTGTTGATCCATTTGGAGCAGCACTTTAAGAAACTTCTCCTTATTGGTTGTTTGAAGAGTTTGACCTAATTAATTAAAAACAACACCATACACACATGCACACACACACACACACACACACACACACACACACACACACACACACACACACAGATTAGCATGGTGTTGTCTGGGTTCGTTTTCTGGTGGACTGCCAGTGTAAGTTGTTATTGGTGAGTGCAGTGAGAATTAAAAAAAATGTTTTGAAACAAACTCCACTGAGCGTCTTGCCTTAAGAATTAGTTTAATTAGAAAATTCAATGCAGGGATTTAAAAATGCAGCCATAAAAGCACTATATACAAACATAACAGCTCATTATCGCAAAATATAAACATGACAGGGTGATCAGGACCCTGGTGCGAAGTGAAATGGTCTTGTATGACCATGTTGGCGTTTATTTTGCAATAATGATTGCAATATTATCTTACAGTCCTTCTGCTTACTAAGTAAATCTGCAATACAATTACCAAAACCGTTTGTTGTAATCCTTATCTTCATGATATGATATAAATATTATTGTCTGTCTGCACAAGTTCTTGTAATGACTTCTAACCTAGACAACTATATTTACTGATAATAAAAACACTGATTCTGTTCCTTTCACACTCATTTTTGTTTATCTGTGACTCATCACACATTTTGCTTACAAGAGGAAATTTCCATAGTGTTTTGTTCTCTGATCCAGGAATAGAATGAGGTGTCCTATCTGTGAGTGCGTGTGCACATTACACCGGATGCTGACTTTTGCTTTAAAGCCTGTGACAGTGTGTCACTGCTGGCCTTGAGATATGGACGTAGGCTTCTCACACTCATTCACATACATCTAAACATTTTACAAAGCTTAAAGTGTGAGTCATCGTTTACTCACACTCTCATATCGTTCTAAACCTTTAGTCGGTCTTCGAAACCCAAATTAAGATTTTTTTTTAATGAAATCCAAGCGATTTCTCTCCCTCCATTGAAAATTGATTCACCCAAAACTCTGACATACTATGTCCAGCACTCAAATATGGTAAACCGAAGCACAAGAATGCTTGCTCGATGCGTAGGAATAAACCTCATACATGTGATCATATAAAGCAATATTATAGGTCTGGAATGAAATGCACCATCATAAGTTTAGAACATCATCTCTGTGCAATAAGAGGAAGTCGTGGCAAATCCATAAATGGTGTTAATGAAATCATATCATGAAAGTCATGAGTCATGTACATATTTATATATATATATATATATATATTTATATATATACACACACACTACTGTATATTTATATACTTTGTCAAGCTCCAAAAAAAGACAGTAGAGCCCGACTGATAAAGGATTTTGAAGGCCGATACCGATACAAATATTTGTTGGTTTTAAAATCCGATATTCCGATATATCAGCCGATATTATTATTATTATTATTTTTTTTTCAGAAACGCGCAACAAAATATTAACAGATTTCCCTAACATTAGTTATTTGTAGTTATTTATGTGTTTTAACTAAAATAATATGATAATGCATTTTAAAAAGAAACTTGTTTCTATTGTCACCACAGAACAGAGGAACATCAAAATATATTAAAGTTCTGATAAATAAAATAATAATTAGTCCCTACATTGCCTTATAAGCTACCTTATAATTACAATGTCAGCTTGCTTATACCTTTACCTGCACTTTTAAATTCTTTCCATCAAGCTACATCAAACCATTTTCAATCATCAGTTGCTGCGTGCCTCCTAAAACCTACTATTTAGCGATTCTAATCTAAATCCATTACAGAACGACAGTCTGCAACGCACACTTGGCGTTGTTGGATTTCACACGCGTGTAAAAGAAAAGCTAACTTTTATGCACAAGATACGTTTGATACTTTTTCTCTATGTCTAAATGTTCAGGATGTGTGGCGCGTTATACACGAGTGTTGCCAACAGGGACGGTGTAGAGTGCCCTCTGGTGGACAAACTATACAACTCCAACACTCATGACATGATTGAAGCGCGATTTGTCCGTTTTTATTTTATTTTTGAAATATTCATTTATCGGCCATTAACTGCAGATACCGATATTTTAGAAAATGCCAAATATCGGCCGATAATATCGGCCTGCCGATATATTGGTCTGGCTCTAAAAGACAGTTGATCTAATGAATCAAAACATCTTAGATTTGTAGATAAATCTGTGTTCGACACGATCTGGCAGACTATGCACAAGCGCACGTGCTACGACGTGTTGTGGGTGACCTGAGTTCAAGTTTGCCTTGTGTAATTTCTTGATCCCACTACTGCCTGTCTTCCCATTATTTCCTTTAGCCGTGCAGTTATTATAAGTCCCGAAGCCCGAAAGTACAATGTAGTGCAGGTTAATGCAAATGGATGTAAATGTTATTCAATAACACTAAACATAACATAATCTTCAGTCCCCCAAATACAAAGTACTGATTTAAGTGGATAAAATGGTCAAGGGTCCAGTGATCTGATCGGCTAGCTATACTGGATGTAGGAATGAACTGGATTTAAGTGGCTCAGCAAATTGGATCTTTATGTCAGGCAGGTTTGAGAAAACAAGATTGAAGCTTGCTGCATCATGATGTCATTGAGCCTGACTGTCTACTTAAGTATACTAGACAAACATAAAGAAAAACGGTAACCCAGGTTCATTAGTTAATGAATTCTTAGATCAGTATTTATTAGTTTTATCTTAGTTAATATTAATTACAGAACACAAAAGTTGTAGGTTGTATTTAGTTAATGCACTGTGAACTAACATGAACAAACAACGAACAGCTGTATTTTTATTAACTAACATTAACAAAGATGAATACATACTGTAACAAATGTATTGCTTATTGTTGTAGTTAATACATTAACTAATGAAACCTTATTGTAAAGTGTTACCAGAAAAAAAAAAAAAAAAAACTTTTGAAAAGCATTTCTAGAAATGTGTTACATACACATTTACAAAAGAAAAATCATATTTAACATATAATATTTCCCACACTTGATCAATGTTTGCTGATATATTTGTAGTTGAGGGCCTATATGTAAATATAATGCATCAGTAACCTAACTGAAAAGATGCATTTCATTTGTTTAATTTCAGTTACTCATGAGCTCAGCTGCAGCTTCCCCATATGGAACTTTAATAAGATTAAGATGCACTAAAATGACAATGCTAGTCCGACTGCTCATTCACCCGCAGAAACCCAATCAACAACCCCTAAACGACCATGGGGTCTTCAAAATCGGCACATATGGCAGGCTCAAAAGAGTCCCAGGCTCATTGCTGTAAGACCCCCAAGATGCACCGCTAAGTAATAAACAGTAATCTGTAGCTGTCTGCATACGAGTGCACACCCCGCTTATAACCATAAGGCTTAGTACAGAAGAATGACTGTGATTGGATTATTAGTCGTAAATCTTTTTGACAGCACTCAGGCAATGAGCCCTTAACTGCACTGTCACAATGTAATGACCTCAAACCCTTCATAGTCTTACTTATAGGTGAATTTAAATCCTTTTAATCCAGCAACAATAAAGCATCTTTGATTTTATAAGCCACCGTTTCTGTTTTTCTGTACATGATATATATACAACCCGAATTCCAGAAAAGTTGGGACGTTTTTTAAATTTGAATAAAATTAAAACTATACGACTTTCAAATCACATGAGCCAATATTTTATTCACAATAGAACATAGATAACATAACAAATGTTTAAACGGAGAAATTGTACACTTTTATCCACTAAATGAGCTCATTTCAAATTTGATGCCTGCTACATGTCTCAAAATAGTTGGGACGGGGACACGTTTACCATGGTGCAACATCTCCTCTTCTTTTCAAAACAGTATGAAGACGTCTGGGCATCGAGTTTATGAGTGTCTGGAGTTTTGGTGTTGGAATTTGGTCCCATTCTTGCCTTATATAGGTTTCCAGCTGCTGAAGTGTTCGTGGTCGCCTTTGACGCATTTTTCGTTTAATGATGCGCCAAATGTTCTCTATAGGTGAAAGATCTGGACTGCAGGCAAGGCCAATTCAGAACCCGGACTCTTCTACGACGAAGCCATGCTGTTGTAATATCTGCAGTATGTGGTTTTGCATTGTCCTGCTGAAATACACAAGGCCTTCCCTGAAATAGACGTTGTCTGGAGGGGAGCATATGTTGCTCTAAAACCTTTATATAGCTTTCAGCATTCATAGTGCCTCCCAAAACATGCAAGCTGCCCATACCGTATGCACTTATGCACCCCCATACCATCAGAGATGCTGGCTTTTGAACTGAACGCTGATAACACGATGGAAGGTCTCCCTCTTCTTTTGTCCGGAGGACACGGCGTCCGTGATTTCCAACAAAAATGTCAAATTTGGACTCGTTTGACCATAGAATACTTTTCCACTTTGAAATAGTCCATTTTAAATGAGCCTTGGCCCACAGGACACGACGGCGCTTCTGGACCATGTTCACATATGGCTTCCTTTTTGCATGATAGAGCTTTAGTTGGCATCTGGAGATGGCACGGCGGATTGTGTTTACCGACAGTGGTTTCTGGAAGTATTCCTGGGCCTATTTAGTAATATCATTCACACAATCATGCCGATGAGTGATGCAGTGTAGTCTGAGGGCCCGAAGACCACGGGCATCCAATAAAGGTCTTCGCCTTTGTCCCTTACGCACAGAGATTTCTCCAGTTTCTCTGAATCTTTTGATGATGTTGTGCACTGTAGATGATGAGATTTGCAAAGCCTTTGCAATTTGATGTTGAGGAACACTGTTTTTAAAGTGTTCCACAATCTTTTTACGCACTCTTTCACAGATTGGAGAGCCTCTGCCCATCTTTACTTCTGAGAGACTCTACCTCTCTAAGACATCCCTTTAATCATGTTACAGACCTGATATCAACTTAATTAGTTGCTATAGATGTTCTCCCACCTGAATCCTTTCTAAATTTCTTGCTTTTTCAACCATTTGTTGTCCCCGTCCCAACTATTTTGAGACCTGTAGCAGGCATTAAATTTGAAATGAGCTCATTTAGTGGACTAAAGTGTAAAATTTCTCCATTTAAACATTTGTTATATTATATATGTTCTATTGTGAATAAAATATTTGCTCATGTGATTTGAAAGTCGTATAGTTTTCATTTTATTCAAATTTAAAAAACGTCCCAACTTTTCTGGAATTCGGGTTGTATATATATATATATATATATATAAATTCAGTATATATATATATATATATATATATATAAATTCAGTATATATATATATATATATATATATATATATAAGCCACCGTTTCTGTTTTTCTGCACATGATATATATATATACAGTATAGTGTGTGTATATATATATATATATATATATACATACATTATTTGAAGATTAAAAACATTTAAACTTTTTTTATGTGCTTTCTGCTTTTCCGCAAGTAATACATTTATAGTGGCATGATGAAATAAATGCAATATTATAAACAATATTAATAGTGATTATATGATCAGTGTAATGTATATTTACACAATTTCTCTCTCTCTCTCTCTCTCTCTCTCTCTCTCTCTCTCTCTCTCTCTCTCTCTCTCTCTCTCTCTCTCTAATCACAATGAAGTGGCCTTTCGGAGTAAATACTGCAAATTCCCAGCAGAGGGAACTATACAGCAATACACTGTCCACAATGGTGTTTTAAAGTAAAAAAAAAAAAAAAAAGTTATTATAATATTACGGTATTATGTTATATTATAAATATTTATAACAACATATTCTTGTTAATAAAAGGATATGAATGTTTTGTGTGAACCTTGTTCTGTAGGAAGCTGGTCACAGATCAAGTGCAACGCCCCGTCTGGGAGCCAGCAGACTTTGAAATCTTACGCTGTAAAATGAAACTAAAAGGAGGAGGAAATTTAGAATGAAAGAAGTGAGATTCTAGGAAGCTATTCACCACTTTCAAGAAGACACGGTGGTGTAATGAATGAAGTCTCAGAATGAATTTGGATGTTTCTGAAGATCACAGGTAAGACTCTGGTTAAAACCAGAGATCATTGTCAAGCCGAGCATGTTTAAGTGAATTTCTTTATTTTACTTTTGTTAAGGTGTTTTAACTCGCATCTTGTGTTCACAGTGCTGCCAAGAAGTCTTGTATATTTGAGCCATACAGAAAGCATAAAAACATAGGCAAATGTCTAATAATCAGTAATGAGCACTTCCCTGGTGAGTATGATCAGCCTGTATCTCCATTGAACTATAAAATTGTGTAATCTCTGACCTGCTTACAGTACACTATTTGGAACTGTTCTTTGATACGTATCTGCCCTTTTGAATGCGGCTATAATAATTTAAAAGCTTAATTCCCATCATGGGATCATTTTATGTTATGTTTTAATTAATTTTAGTTTGAATCTATTTTTTTTTTTTTATTTTGGTTTCATTTTCTGAATAAAAAATCTAATAAACACACTTTATCACTAAAAAGAATAACCTTTTAAGCACAAAAGTATTATGTAATTATTTAAGACAATTCTCCTTATATTGAAACTCGAGAGCCCTATATAGAGTATTCGGTAACATTTTACAATACAGGTGCACTAATAAGCATTAATTCATGGTTAACTAATGCACAGATAATACTGAATTAATGTGTAACTAATAATTATCTAAGCTATTCATTAATGATTACCAAATTAGGAACTAATTAAGAGTCTGTAAGGTTAATGTATTAGTTCATACATTAATTGTTTTAATTAAATATGTAATTGTGGATTAATTCCATAATAACTATTTTTTTCAACTAATAGTGTGAATTAATATGTTAATTACCAGAATGAGCCAAAGCCGTGTATTTCAACTTCCAGATAATATGACAGGTACACTAATATGCATTAATACATGATTAATTACTTCATTGTTAGTGCAAATTCATGTGCAAATTACTACAATTACTAAATGACTAGTTAATAATGATGTGCCCCAACAAGTAAAGTCATAACATAATGATACCTTTGCAAATCATTAGCTAATTATTAATTAAAGCAGACAACTGGAAGTTGAAGTGCATAGCTTTGACTAATTGTGGTAATTAACACATTAATTTACACTATTAGTTAATAAAATATGACACATTGAATTTATAGCAATTCATGTATTACTTAATCTATTAATCATATAGACTCTTTATTAGATGCTGATGCAGTAATATTAGTGCACCCGTATTGTAAAGTGTTACCGAGTATTCTGTAGTCCTGAATTTTAACTTAAGTGTTAACTTTGCCTCTAACCTTGATTCTTGCTGACTCCAGCTCTTCTGTTTTGAGTTCTAATCCCACAGTGGTTTACAGTCTTGAGTTCCATTCATGTGATTTTTTAGCACGCTAGTCCTGCTTTGTGGCATTTCACAGAGTATCTGTTCCTAAAAAAAAAAAACCTCCGGATTTTTCTAAAAACAGTTTTGTGATAATGAATGATTGACTGAAAATTATAACTCTGTACATGGTTACATAAATAAATAAATAGTGATGAGTTTAAATGATTCAGTGATACAGTATTTGGTTTGAATTAGTCTAATTAATGACTCATTCATTGAATTTAAAGTCATCAGGTGCGTTCACAGACCGATCGCCAATGACATCAAAGTATCCTGAGAGAGCGGACGGCTCAGTATCATCAGCCGCATCATTCTCGCGGTACTTTGATGTCATACTTTGATGATGTGCTTTAATTCAAACACACATTTTCAGTCATTTTCAACTTTCTCAAAAACTCAAAAAGAATCGATGGAATTGTTGGAAATGAAACTTAAACCAGAAACATTAAATTCCCTATCTATTCCTTAGTTATGCCTTCTTGTTCCAGACTCACCACATTTGCATAGGAAGGGCGGTTCAGTAGATGAACGCTTATTGTCGAGCACATTCAAGTCCCTCGGGTTTCAAGTACAGGTGGAGAAGAACCTGTCGGCAAATGAAATGATTAGTGTGCTGAGAAAAGGTACAGTACAATGTCATTTTCAGTGTTCAGGATGGGTCATGCCTGTATTCATTTATAAATGTGCCATAGTATCCAAGGAGAACCACACAGACAATTCCTGCTTTGTGTGTGTACTGATGAGCCATGGAGAGGAAGGAACAATCCTTGGATCGGATGAGCGCTGGATCCATGTCAAAACTCTGACCTCTCTCGTGACTTCTGACCTCTGCCCTAGTCTGCGGGACAAGCCGAAACTTTTCTTCCTACAGGTAACAGCCGTCTGCAAAAGAGAGAGAGAAGCATTTCATAACATTTTGTCTGTGGCTAACTAATGTTTTATTGGTTTGATTTCATATTCAGGCCTGCAGGGGACTGGAATATGACCCTGGTGTCGAGGCAGACAGTGAAGAAGCACCGGGCGAATATTTGGGAATTTCGGACGTTCCCGAGGCGGATTTTCTCTGTTGTTATTCCACAGTGGAAGGTTTGCATTCCACTGACAGACAGTGGCATAGTTGATTGGTTTCATTGAATTTTTGTACAGCAAATGCATTTGAAAACATTTGTTTCTCCACAGGATACTACTCGTGGAGAAATCCAGAAAAAGGCTCTGTATTTATCGGTGAACTTTGCAAGATGTTAAAGGACAGTCATCTAGAGATTATTCAGATTCTCACAAGAGTAAATCATCATGTGGCTTTTCACTTCCAGTCTTGCACCACAGACCCGGATACACACAGAAAGAGACAAATGCCGTGCTTTGCCTCCAAACTGACCAAGGATTTTTATCTTCATGTGGCAGAGAAGAAAAAGAAATAATATAAATGAAAAAATAATAATAATAATTTTCCATCACTGGGAGCAAGTCAGTGATGTGGTTTGCAAGGAGAGACAGCAATTTATGAATATGTTAGAATATGTTCATATGCAAACACACTTCATTATTAAATTAATCAAATGATGTATAAGATGGCAGATCTGAAGAACAGTCTAAGCACATTGAATTAAATACTTCAGGAACTTTATTTATTTGTTCGTTTGTGTTTTCTTCTTTTTCTTTTTCCAAATAAAAGTGGAAAAAATAAATAAAAATGACATTATTCATAAGAGGCAAGTGAATATCTGATGACAGATACTAGACTTATGTATATTTCAATATCTTTTTGATTATTCATATCTAGTCTTTAAAATATAATTGCTGTATAGAGAAAGTATTTTTTTCATAGGTAAAGTTTGAAAGTCTGGCTCTGAGACAATGGTGAAACAATGAAATCTATACATAAAAGGCACTTTATTTATAAATAATAAAGTTTTATGTGACCTTGATAGTAAAAGAAAAGAGGCCTTTTAGCTTTAAAAGAAATCAAGCCATGACACATAAATGTGTCCGCACTAAAGAAATACACTGTCTTTTAGTTGGAATAACTAAAAGTGAAAGACAACTTTTGATTAAGGGTCAAGTAAAGTAGAATTTTGAGACTTGATGAAGGGTAGTTGTCCTACCATCTCATGTGATATGGCTTTATAGTAACAGGAACAGGCAATGTAGCCTACTTTCAGCAGAGTTCTTCATTCTCAACCTTTCTGTTAGTGAGATTCTTTTCTGTCTGTCTCTCATCTGTCATCTCAGGTATAAATTTGAAATTTACTTGATAGTGTGGACTATTCTTACAGGACTTATCATAACGAGTCGTCCTGTTTCAGTGTCTGATCTGAATGGAGTGTTCTGTTACTGCTTGGATGGCAACTTTTGGGACCTGTGTGGTTCTTATTATAACTTGGTTCTCCATGTTGGCACAGCATATCTTTTTTCTCTCCAGTTGTTTTGTCTTGTGGCTGTTCTCAGATTTTTCTTCTAACGAAGAACGTTTTGTCTTATTCTAATAACTACTATGACCATGATTATCATGTGATGTGCTCCTTATATTAATTGTATGGTTCCTTGATGGGTTTTATCAGGAAAGATTACACTTTTTTTATTGCTTATACTGTATGCTTGGCCTGGTTTTGTTTTGCCTTTTCTCTTTCTCCACCAGGTGGAAGAACTCAACAACAAACTTATGTATATCCAGTATTCATGAAAATAAAGGTCCACTGCAGTGTTATTGAAGTGATCAAAATAATTTAATCCATCAGTGGGGGAGATCTCAATGGAAGTGTGTACATATTCACAATAGTACCAAAAACATTTACAACAAACAAACCAAATAACTCTTAGTAACTTAGGCCTAAACTGTGTTAAGAAGGATACTGTACTTTACATAAGGCACTTATTTTTCCGTTAAATGTAATGAACTCTATATTAAGAATACATTACAGTACTGTTCTTTTCTTCTTAAAATATTTTCTAATTCTTCACGCATGCGCACGAGTCTCTGAAGTTTATAAGTAGGCCTCCGTTTGCAGATTCGGCAAATAGCTGTTGCTAAATTAAAAATGCTAAATTATGATAAGAGTATGATTTTAATCCATAACATATAGGCCTATAAAGAAATGTTTGTAGAGTAAAAACACTTCTCACCGTTCACCCCGTAGGCTACTTCTCAACGTTGACCCGTCTTCTGTTCTAGTAGTAGCTAACGTTACTAGCGAACTGTGTGGACCATAGAGTCTGGTTTTGGACTAGCGTTCCTCAAATTTATGGTAAGCTTTTTGATCGCTTTTTGAGATTTTTTTTAAGTCCAATCTATATTTTCTAATTAGGCCAACTGAGACATTATTTATGGAAATAAAAATATTTGATAAAAAAATAGATTTGTAACTATATTGTGTTGCGAACATAGGTTGTGAATCATGTGATGTTGGAGTGCGCGTGAGCGTGCGCGAGACAAATGAATTCAAATCAAAAGGCGATTCCACTTGCTCTTTCCAGTGTTTGTCTGCTGCCTTGGCCTTCAGTGCTTCGTTTGGGAGAGGTACACCAATACATTTTCCTACTGTTGATATCTTGCAGAGAATATTTATGGTAGGCTACTACCTGGAAAACAAAGTGCATCTAATTGATTTTATTCGGAAAATAATCAATTCATTTGACATTCATCATTATTATACCCAACACCATGAAAAAAAAGCTAAGTTTGTATGCCTTTATTTTCTCTCTGTGGTTCTTTGTTGACATTAAAGTATATTGCTGGTTACAAATGATATAAAATGAAGTAAATTTTTCTTATGAATCATCAAGTAAATAACATTTTGGTTGTCGTGATGGCTCTTACAATAACAATTTTGAACATGAACAGAGTGCATACAGCGACACATTTTAATAAGATGATGTAGGCTATCTGAATAACATACAGAGAAGATTGGCAGCTTTGTGGAAATCAGAATAGGGGGCACTTGTTTTTAGTGCACTACACAAACAATTCTTTAACCAACAGCCTAAAATTGAGTTAAAAATGACTAGGCTATCTACTATAGAGACCTACAAAAGGGCAGTTTGCCAAACCTGTGAATGAAGAGAAGTGGTTGCACAAAACCAGGCAGAAAGAAACATGTAAGACTCATTGATTCCAGTTCTTTGCTGGCAGGCATTGACAAAACATACTGTAATGCTGTGATTGAACTGGGAACATAAGTGATTACTAAAGTCACAGTATTTATTAGAATGAGATAAAACGCTCTTTTCTTCATGTGGTTTGCTTCCTCTCTCTCTCTCCCTCTCTCTCCAGGTCCCGACTGCTTCAGAGCTCTGAGAACAGCCACACAGCAGAAGAGGTTTATGGAGAGGAAGATTATGAAGTGTGACAGGTACAGGCATTTAAAAATGGGCATAAAACATGGGTTTACAAGTTCCAGACATAACACACAACATATAGTGATCATTATCCAGGTAACAACAGAGCATGCGACTTTGTATCTGAGAGGTTTATACTTCAGAAAGGTTACAGGATGAACCACTGCCAGGTAACGCTCAACACAGATCAGACACTGAAAGAAACGGGCAGTGATGACAAATCCTGATAAAAACATCATAACAGTCCATAGCCTTTCAAATAAATTACCAAGCACAGCGTTCAGTGAGCGCAGACATAACATAATCTCACAAAAAAAGATGTTCAGAGTTAAGAATTCAGATGCAATTCCTCTTTCTGTCCCTGTGACAATGAGCCACAGAATATAGGAGTGTGTAGGAAGACCGAACAGGAAATTGATGACATGCATTACAACATCATAGGTTGAACTGTGATAATATATGTACAAATCAGTTGTGTTACATGCCCCGTTTATCGGAGGTGCTTCATTCGAGATGCTCATCGTGTAACTGTCTTTGCATTCACCTTAACAAAAAAATAAGTAATATAATCAGAAAACATATTATTCTAGAATTAAAACATAAAACTTTTAATTTACAAAAAAGACAAATGTTGTAAACACCTATCTTGATTCAGCATCTGATAAGGATTCATTAATTAAATTAGTTATATTTGTATGTATAATGCATATTATATTATATTATATTATATTATATTATATTATATTATATTCAGCATTTGATCATAGTAAGTCTTAAGATCTAACTAGGTTTTACAATTTTATCATATCATATTTTGTTTGTAAATGCTGTGATTATAAAAATAAAATTTTGAAGAAAGATAGTTGGTTACCGGAATAGTAATAGTCAAATCTCTCCACTCTCTCAAATGGAATTTCCGTCTGTCTAGGAAGGTGATCAGTGCACTTCTCACTCTGAATCTACAACGCTGCAGATGTTATTTTTATTACTGTATGCAAATTTCAACATGCATATAGTGATTTATGAGTGTTAACACCATAGATCATAGAACTCTGAACATAACACTATTTGATGCTGTGATCACATGACTTTGGATGTCAGGACTGATAAGTGAGGAGATTTATCTTTGAAAATCATGTTTTTACCCATTATTGTTGAATCACGCAGGCTACACCAGTCAGACAAAAAGAAGCAGTCCAGGGGCATGCATTAAATTTTAAATATTCCATATTTTAAAGCATCTATCTGATGCATTTTGAGATGCATTTTTTGCCAACCTGGGGAGAGTTGGAGAAACTTAACTTCATGTTAAAAATGTTGCGTTCTCTCCTGCTCAATTCATCAAACTGTAGCTAACATTAGCAAAGCCTATGTCAACAGAGCTCCTGGGTAACTTAGATATAGCCTACCATAAAATATTAGGGATGTTCCGAGACAATTTTTTCTGAACCGATCCAGTCCGAAACAAAAATCTCAGTATCGAATTATACTGATCTGATACCAACCCAGTTAAAAAAAAAGTCAAATAGAATTTCTATAACTGTGCGTTGAACTGATAATCACTATTTTGTTTAAACACAATCTACTTAATACAGACAACTTCTTTATAAAGAAAAACATCAAATCAAATAATATATATATGATCATAACCTATGACAAAAAATCTATTAGAAAATAGATCAGTGGGTAACTCAGCAGTAAAATTTAGTCTAAAATAATCACAAGTGCACAATAATTGTATAAAATCTTAACATTTATTGAAAAAAAACAGAAATAATCACAGGTGCACAATAATTGTATAAATCTTAAAATTTAGTGAAAAAACAAAACAACAACATTATTTAGTGGGGAACGAATAAGAGACAATAAGTGTAGCACTAGATCTGGTAAAACTTTTTCATGTATTAAGTTAGTACAACTGCTTCTTTCTTGATTTTGCACAAGCAACTACATGCTTAGTAGATTTCTTTGTTACTGTCTCCACAGTTTACTCCAGCTTCGACAGACTCAGCGCTGCTAGTGATCGCAATTCCTGTGATGTTCTCATTTTTGTGAGATATAATATATGCGATATATATACATAATATATATATACATAATATATATATATATGTATATACACATCTCGGTTGCGGATGTAACCCCTGAGTAGGGAACGGAGACGTTCTGTCTTCCATTTTCCACTGTACCGCAGTCTTGGCTCCTCAGCGAAGAAACATGTCTGATTTAAATACCCACGAGGTGAGGCGGAGTTACGCTATGCAAAATCCACAGACCCATGGCATTTCTTTGCCATTGGCTCGTTTTATATTGATTGAAGCTGATAGGCTTTCTATGCGAAAACCCCTTTCGTCGTCATCCGACGGAACTCGGAGTGACAACGAAAGGGAACTAGTGATGTTCTCACAAAAAACGTTCAATCCCTGAAACATTTTTAATTGTAGTTAAACGTCTAGCGTCCTTGTCTTTATTTAACTTTGTTTTTGCAAAACCACTCAATTGACGTCTGTCCATTTTTGATTTAGATTCATTTTCTAAATCCAAAATGACACATTTGTAGGCACTTGTTGTGGACCAACTCAACTCTTACAGATTGGGGAGTGAGAGTGGTCATGTAATCTTTATTTATTTATAATTTATTATTATTATTATTGTGAAATTAGTGTTAATAAATTAGTTATGTATAGTCTTTCAAAAATTTCGAGTTAATAATATAACAATTTATGAAAAATATTTTTAAAGCTTGTGCCATGTGGTGCCCCCTAGTAGTGTTGGAATGGTTGGTTGAAGTTGAAGCTTCGCGGGAGCCGCCATTGTAGCAGAACTTCACCTGCTGTTAGCATTCCATTGACTCTCATTCATTTTGGCGTCACATTGACAGCGAATAACTTTACATTTGAGGCGTCCAAAGACTTAATTTGTCCTTTAATAATTTCTAAAGAAACACAACAATGTATAAAATGCTCCATTACTTTATATCTTACGTTACGGCTTAGTAGAAGCCGTTTTTGTAAAAATAGGCTAAAGATAACCACGGGACGTGCGTCATAACCATGGGACTTTCTATCGCACAATAGAGACATTACCATATAGACAGGAGGAGAAGCTCGCAACAATATTTACTCTCTATGAGGCAATCATGGGGAGATGAAGGCACAAAGTCAAGGTAGAAGCCTATAGATAAAGAGTCCATTAAAGCAACGGGACAAAATATTTCAACAATGAGGAATTAGGTGATTCAGATTTGTCTTGG